AGAGAGGTATATCTCAAAGAGGAAGGCAGATATTAAAAAGTGGCTTGGAATATTCTGTTCAGTTCGAAATGATTTTTAGAAGCCTGTGTACATTGCTCTTTATCTTCCAGAAGGACATCTTTTGTCCCAGGCTCTTTAACTCTCTAAGAATCCTACCCATGCAGTGATCATCCTTAGAAGTCAGTGAGAGTCATACTTCTTATGCTGGCTTATAAGGGACTACATTATCTATCAGCATTTCTATTGTTTAGGAGTTATGGGACTATCTGTGCATATTTTGAGGACCATTGCCTTTAACCATCTTTTGACAGGGTTTTGCTATCCTGTCATTTCTTGAGTAAAATGGATGATCATAGCTCACTGCAAACTCAAACATCTGGGCTCCAGGGATCCTAAAACCTCTGTCTTCCAAGTAGCTAGAACTATGGGCATGAGCTACCATGGCCAGCCATTATTTTTCATTATTATTATTATCTGGTAAAAATGGAATCTCCTTATGTTGCTAGGGCTGGTATAAAATCCTGGCCTCAAGTGATCATTCTTGCTTTGCCTTTAAAATTGTTGGGATTATAGGTGTGATCCTCCATGCCAAGCTCCCTGCTTTAAGTTCCTTTTGATGCATCATTTCTAAAATGTGTAAAGGGGAATAGTGGAGATATTTGGATTTGTTTCTGTAATACCAGAAACCCTAGGGACAGATAGTCATATTTTCTGCACCATGATTTCCAATTCTAAGTTTTCAGAGGCAAGTCTACAGAAAGTGAGGCTCACTAACTTTGTACAAAAGCATAGCCTCTGCCTAAATGTAAGAAAATCTAATGTTATTTCACTTCTAAGTAATCTTTTCTAGTATAAGTAAGAGTAAATTTGAAACTTTATTATAGCCAAATACCAAAACTATAATATAGTTTATTTTGCACTCTCACCCTATAGAATTCCAAAATAATCTGTCTCATTCAGTGCTTCACATACATGAATATATTTATATTCCCAATTGATTCACAATATTTTGATAACTTATATTCCATAATTTCCCCCTGTTTAGTAGCATCAGAATTGTGTCATTCATATGTGTGTATGTGTGCATATATTTCTGTGTATGGGGTGTTTAATGGGTGGAAGTTTCCACAAATAAGAATTGTATAACTGTATATATTTATTGTACACACTGTAGTGATCAGATGTGTGTATAAATAGTAAAACAATATAATAAAGGGCATAAACTATTCCATCATTTCACATATTTACCATTTAATTATACTGAGAAAATTTATTAATAGAGAGGTCTATGGTCTTAACAAATTTTAAGCATATAAAACATTATTAATAACCCTAATCATGTTGCCATACAATAGATCTCCAAGATCTATTCATCTTATAACTAAAAGATTTTACTCTTAAACATCTCCTCATTTTTTCCTGACTCTACACCCTGGAAACCACTGTTGTACTCTTTATTTTTGTAAATTCAACTTTTTAAAACTAATTATCCATAGCAATATTCATCTTTCTGGGAATGGCTGATTTTACTTAGCATAATGCCTCCTACGTCCATCCATGTTGTTGAAATGGCAGGATATTTATCATTTTCATCGCTTAGTAATAGTATATGATATGTGTTTGTACAATCATTTTTTAGTCTATTCATCATAAGCAGGCATTTAGTTTGTTTCCATTTTCTTGGCAAATGTGCATAATGCTGCGATATATATGGAGGTGCAGAATCTTCTTAAGATACTAATTTTTCATGGTTATACTCATAGGTAGAAATGGTGAATGACAAGGCAGTTGTATTATTTACATTTTTTAACAAATCTCTATGGTGACACTGTCCATTTACAATCAATAACAGTGTACAGGGATTGCTTTCTTGCACACTCTTGTCCACACTTGTTATGTCTCTTCTTTTGGACATTAGCCATTTTAACAGTTGTGAGGTGATACCTTATCATAGTTTTCATTTGTGTTTACATGATGTTTTGGTAATGCTGAGTTACTCTTCGTGTTTCCTGTTGTAAACTGGTATGTTTTCTTTGAAAAAAATCTACATCAACTTTTGCTTATTTTGAAGTGGGTGATGACATTGTTTTGCATTTGAAAAATATGAGTTTCCTATGTATTTTGGGTGTTAACATATTATGCAATATAAAATTTGAAAATATTTTCTTCTGTCCTATATGTTTTCTTATTTTGTTTTTTTTCCCCTTCTATGCAGAGGATTTTAAGTTTGATGCAGCCAAAATTGTTCAGATTTTGTTCTAGTGCTTATTTTATCATATACCAAAAAAAAATAAAATTGCAAGTCTTATGTCAGGTTTTCCCATATTTCTTCTTTTCATTTATACTTTTTTTTTTTTTTACAAACATTACAGTTTTATGTATTCCATTTAAAATCTTTATTATATCTGGAGTTAGTTTGGGGTATCATATAAGAAAAAATAGTTTGCTTTTATTCATTTGTTTTTGGGTATCCAGTTTTCCAGCACCAAGCATTGAAGAGCCATACTTTCTGCATTGTGCATTCCTAAAGCCTAGATAAATGTTAGTTGACTTTATATGTTTTGGTTTATTTCTGAGCACTCCATTCTCTTCCATTGTTATTTGTGTCGGTTTTTATGTGCATATTTTGCTGTTTTTATTACTCTCACCTTAAAATTTACTTTGAAATCATAAAGTGTGATGCTGGAACCTTTTTTCTCCTTTTGCCTTATTGTTTAGGGCTCATCAATGGTATTTGTGATATCATACAAATATTAGGATTTTTTGGTTAATACTGTCAAGTAATGCCCCTGGAATTTTGATAGGGAGTACATTGAATGTATACATTGTTTTGGATAATATCTTCCTATTTTCTCATGTCATCTTCAATTTCTTTTATTAATATCTTATAGTACTCAGTGTGAAGGGTTTTTTTTTTAATTAACTTTGGTTAAATATATTTCTTAGGAATCTATTATCTTGATGGTATTTTACATGAGAGTGTTTGTTTTCCTTTTTTATTTTCTACTTTATTAGTGTGTAGAAAAGCAACTGATATCTGTATGTAAATTTTACATCCTGTGACTTAACTGAGAAGTTTTATTACTTTTAAAG